GGGGGAGGGGGGTTCTCACCTCGAGGGGTAAAAAGTATAACTATTGCACTGTGTTGTACAGCTGAAACTAATTCTAAAAAATGTGTATTTCACAATAAAAAATATTAAAAAAAAAAAAAGAAATCCTCTTTTTAGGTGTGGCTTGTTCAGAGTCAAAGGTACAGGATGGGAAGGTAGAGGGAAGCAAGTAGTCTCAACTTTGGAAGAAACCAGTCATTGTCCCTGAGCTACCCCTGCCACCCTGGGCAGATGGGGAGGCTGGGGAAAAAGAGGAGGAAGGACGGGGCTCACGCTGATTGCAGGAGCCACGATGGATAGAGATGGCATCCAGAGAGATGTCCAGGTAGGCAGTGCTGCCCCTCACGCCTTCAAACATCAGCTGTGGGAGGGAGGACAGACCACCCACCCTGTGAGCCCCTTTGCCTCAGGCTCCCAGTTTTCTGCCTGAATTCAGATGCTCCAGCCCCCATCCCGTACCCCCTCAATTGTCCCAGCCCCTCCTGGGCCCCCCAACACTCAGATTCCCACTGGGGCCCTAGGCTCTGCCCTTGGCCTCACCCAGCTGGGCAGGGTATGCGCCTTGGGCACAGTGACAGTGGTAGGCATCCAGGAGAGGCTCTGGGTGTCAATGTGTTTCCAGAGCAGGTGGGGATGCTTGTTCTTGGTGCCCCTGAACAGCAGCAGTTTGAGCTGGGCACCCCATGACAGTCCGAACATGTGGTAGACGAAGTGTACGCACAGCGGGCCTTGCTCCCATATGGGGGGGCTGTGCAGGCGGGCCACCCCACCCGGGTGGATGGTGCTCGAGTCCATGTGCAGGTAGTAACCCTCTGAGGAGGAAGAGCTCAGGATGGTGAGGTCCTGCCATCCCCAAGGGCTGCCCCCACCCCTTTCCCAGAGCCCAGGGGCCCACTCCCAGCCGCTTCCCTGCTCCCTCCACCCAGGTCTGCCTGTGCCTACCTCCCAGCTGCCTCCCTAAACCTTAGGCTTCCTTACCTCCATTGGGGTACCCCCCGGGAGGCCTGGTGTTGCCAGTGTGGGAGGGCCCACTGGCTCGAGTCCAGTCCCCGTCATCTGTGGACACTTGTGTCCAATCACAGAAGGGTTTCGAGTTGTCCTCAAAATTACAGTGGGTGATAATGGCTGGGAAGAAAAGGCCACCAGAAGAGGGTAGAGGGCCAGCTGCAGAGCCAAACTGGAGGGGGAAGGGGTTAGCAGGACTGCTAAGCTTAGAAAAGGTGGCCATTAAGATTAGAGTCCAGAACAGAGATTTGGGAAAGAGAATCTGAGAAACAAGTCACCTCTTAGGAGAAATTCAGGGCAGGAGTGGGATGGGGTGGGCAGGATGTCTAGGTCTGGGGTTGCAAACTGAGGTCCCTGGGGCTGGATTCAGGGGGGCAGACAGGCTTCATCTGGGCAGCATACACTTTGTTGTTAATTTGAGTGTGAATCTTTTAAGCAGGGCTTGTTCAACTCCTCCACAATTCCCTCCATCCTCTGTCATCTAAGGGTTGCCCTTCACACATTTACTCCATGTTTATGTCATTGCTTGGTCCTGAGGGCACATGGGCGGCCACCCTGAGAGGGAGAGAAGGTCTGAGCAGTCCTGGTTTCCAACTCACAGTTGTCCCTAGAGCTGCGAGTGAATGGCTTCTGCTCCAGAGGCTTCTCTTTCCTTGAGATTAATTTGGAGAAAGAACAAAACGTAATACTTGTCATTATCAAGAATTATAAGCCTCAGTGACTATGAGCTTAGCTTAAGTTGTCATCTATCTCCAAAAAATATGTCTTCCCTGAGAGCCCCTCACATCCCTGCCAGTCCCCTCCATCCCTCTATGCCCTGGATGTCAGGCATAGTTGAGTCTCAGGTAAGGAGGAACCGGTTTACACCTGGGGAATTGCCTTCCTTTAGGTAGATGTCTTCTTGTCCTAAACCCTAACTTTCCCCCGTAGAGTAAGGACCATATGGATCCCACGTTGCTAGGTGTGTGGTGGAGGTGGTATTGCTCCAGCTACATGTAACTGAGCATAGAGATGATTAACAAAGGGACAGCCCCTCCTCACCTTACAAATTCCACTAAAAAGCTGCTGCCCCTCCTCAGGTGGCAGGGACCACGTCAACCAGCACTTAGTTTTAGTTGTTCAAGTTCTACTTGTTCAAATCCCCACAAACAAGCTCCAGGACACTGAGCTATCCATCATTTCTTGCTGCCTCCCACTTGAAGTCTCTCCTATCTGTTCGGCCTGCCCTAGATTTTGTCCCTTTTCTGAGGGCTTGACCTCTCTTTCTTCCCCTGCCATCCTCAAACCTGTCTCCTCAGCTCTGCACCTCTTCTCTCTTTCCTCACATTTTGGCTCTGTCCTGCTCCCACTGAGCTCTCTCACACCCCTCAGTTTCAGACTCTCAGCCTGTGGGGCTCCCTCCATTTCTGTTCATCATCCTCTTCCCATCCCAGCGGGCTCCTGCCTTCCTCCCCAGGGCTGTGCCCTTCATCACTAGCCTGCTTGTCCCCTCCAACTTTGCCTCTCGCTCTTCCTCAGAGCCACCTCCAACTGCTCCCTGAGCCCAGCTTACCGGACAGGGGCAGGTGTGTGGCCCTGGGCCCAGGCAGACCCCACCAGCAGCACCAGAGTCCAGATTGGAGGAGCCATGCGGGACCTCAGAGGAGGTTCTCAGAGGACAGGGGATTCGGAGTGAGGAGCCCAGGCCACTTTAGACACCACTGACCCTCCACTCTGGGCATACATCCAAGGATGCCATGAAAACTGGACAATCAGAGAACTGGAAATAAAAACTAGGAGGGCTGAAATTTAAAATCCAATAGTTGGGTTATAAATCAAAATTGAGAGGAATGAAATGATAGCGAGAGAGAAGGAAAGCAAGAGAGAAAGAAAAGAGAAAGAAACTTAGAGAATCAGTCCAAGAAGTCTAACATTCAACCAAAAGAGGTCAAAAAAGAGAGAACACACACACACACACACACACACACACACACACAATTACTTAAGAAAAACTACACAAGAAGAATTCCCAGAACTGAAACATGAGTCTCTTGATTAAAAGGGGTCTAGTATGATGAATGCAAAGAGACCAAGAAAGGCATGCCATAAAATTTCAGAATATCAGGGGTGAAGGGGAGATCCTAAACACTTTCAGACAGAAAAAAGCAGGTCATAGTAAGTTCATCAGAAATCAGCATGGCGTCGGACCTTTCACTAGCAACCATGGATTCTAAGAGGCAGCAGAACATTGCAGAATTCCAACAGAAAATGATTTCAAACCTAAAGTTCTATAGCTGGCAACAGTGGCAAAGGCGACTGGAAGGTCGAGTAAAGTGAGGTCTGAAATGCTTATTGGCAAAGAATTGAAAAAGACAAGCCACAGGAAGAAATACAACCATCCAGTAAACATTGGAAAGGATGCTCTGCTTCACTGGTAATAAGGGAAATGCTGATCAAACTATCCCTGTTACACTGACAACTTTAAAGGTTGATACCACTGAGTGTTGGCCAGGATGCAGGTAGAAACACTCAAATACATTGTTGATAAGACTGTATGTTGGTGAAAACTTCTTAGAAGGTAATTTGACAATGACTATTAAACTTCCAAATGTGCATATCTTTGACTAAGCATTACTTTTCTTTCTAAAGTACTACTTGATAATATGATACTATCAGTGTTTATTCCTGACTTAAAAAAAAAGAATCTATAGATTCCAAAGGTGGAAAGAGCACCTAGAGATATATTAAATGAAAGAGGTGAGTCACAGAAAACAAAATGTATAGTGTAATTCCATTTATGTAAAATCCCAGAACAAAGATATGTGTTTGTAAACACATTATGTATGTGTTTACATACATAATCAGGTCAAGGTGTAGAGCTGGAACTAACAGGACACACAGAAAGCTGTTCACAGTGGTGACCTCTGGAAAGGGGTCAGCAGGGTTTTCGTGTCTTCTACATATTACGCATCCAGGCGTTCCTGTGTATAAATTTGGTTTGTCATAGAGATCTTTGAGGGGCCTGGTTGGAAGGAAGCCAGACTGAGGAGGGAGTGGAAGTTGAAGAGTGGAATCCCAACGATTTAAAGGGACAGGGACAATGTTTTAAAGCTGTTTGGCCATCGTAGGTGCAGAAATTGGGACAAAGTAGGATCTTTTCAAGATAAGAGAAATTTGAGCCTCTGTAAATGCTCATGGGAAGGGTGCAACAGCAAGAGAGATGAGAAAAGGGCTTCTGAGAAGGTGGGTGGGGAAAGTCTAAAACACAGACAACAGGAGGGACAATCAGCTTTGTGAAGGGAGTGGGGCGGGGTCTGTGCAGACGCATGTTTACTGGCTTCTGTTTCATCCGTGAAGTAGGGGGCTCTGGTCACAGGAAGGCCACAGCAGTATCCCTCTCAGACAACCTTCACGTCAGTCCTGCCCACAGCCAGCTCATCCCCACCTTCCTGCTTGTGCTAATGCCAGCGCTGTATCCTCTACTGCACCCAGTTCCACCTTTTGACACATCTCACAATGGCGGCAAGACTTCATTCCAACCTGCATTCCTCTGGTGGGCAGAAGCTCAGTGCTTGGTAGGGAGACTGTGGAAGGAGTCCCTGTAAGGGGACGGGAGCTGGTTAGGGAAGACTTCTTCTGCAGGAGGTGACACCTGAGGGGCTTCCTAACAGATGGTAACAGAAGGTAATTAGGCAAAGAAATTGGGAAGGTGCATTCCAGGAAGAGGAAATGTTCCAAGCTTAGAGGGAGCAGTGACACTTTTGGAGAATGGCTGGTGTGTGTGTGTGTGTGTGTGTGTGTGTGTGTGTGTGTGTGTGTGTGTGTGTAAGACTAGCAGAAAGCAGGGGTCCTGTGTTGGAGACCTCAAATATCATAGATCTGAGGAGGCACCAAAAGTTTTTAAGCAGCAGGAGCGACTTGATCCTGGGGAGCCGGTATGGATCAGAGGGGCGGCCGGCGCTAGGAAGACGGAGAGGGGGTTGTGGAAGGTAAGAGATGTGGGGCAGATGGATGTTAATGTCGAGGCTGCAGGAGTGGGGCTGTGAGTGGATCAAGAGCTTTCCAGGAGCCGGAAACAGCAATTCTTGTGGGCTAACCTAACTGAATGTCATGTCTTGTTCACAGCAAAGATATTGTCCTCAATTTCCATGTGTGGAAAATGAAGTCATTGCTGGGCATAAGAGCATGGTGCTGACAGTCTCCACACTGTCCTGCCCAGTTCCTCAGTTCTGCAAGGAAACCCTTGGGCTGTTGGGAGCATCCAAATGGGGGGTCCCACCCCAGCCAGAGCAGCTATGTTTTTACCAGTTTGATAAAAAGCAATTCTACATAAGATTGCAGCCGAAAAGGTAGTTTTGCTGCTTTTAAAAACCCCGTTGAAGGGCCAGCCAAAAGTGGCTCAGTTGGTTGAGAGTGCAAGCTCTGAGCAACAGGGTCACCAGTTCGATTCCCACATGGGCCAGTGAGCTGCGCCAGAGCTGAGCTGCCGCTGAGCTGCCAACAGGTGGCAGGATGGCTCAGCTGGTGAGAACACATGATCCTAACAAGGTTGCCAGTTCAACTCCTGCATGGGATGGTGGTCTATGCCCACTCGCAACTAAGACTGAACACAGCACCTTGAGCTGAGTGGCCGCGAGCTGCCGATGGGCAGCCACATGGTGACTGGACTTGGAGCTGAGCTAGCTGCACCCTCCACAACTAAGACTGAAAGACAACAACTTGACTGTTCCCCTTCTCCAATTCCCCAACACTTTCCCCCTTCCCCAATTCCCTAATAAAAATCTTAAATAAAAACAAACGTTGACTCTCATTGTACACCCAGAGCTGAATCTAGGCTGGAGAGCTGGCCCGCAGTGAGCTGAGCTATCGTGAGTTCAGATTTCCTGTATTCCACCACACCCATGTGTTCTAGAAACCTTCAGCTTCATTTCCTTCACCTTGGCAGGCCCCCACCCCTTACTTTCAAATGGGCAGGCCATTCTCCTGGGCTGTCAAGGAGGGGCTGGCACAGCTGAGCACCAGGCTTCCAAGAGGGAAGTCCACAAGCCCCTTTATAGTCTGCAGGAGTCCTTCTGCCCAAATGAGTAACAACAGGGCCTATGCAGGGGTTACACCCAGGGAGAGAGGCTCCTCTGCCCCTTTACTTCAAAGCTGGGGATATAAAGGATGCCCATTCCAAACCCTGGTCTACCCTTTCTCCAGACCAGGTTGGCAGAGCAATCAATAGAAGGACAGAGCCAGGAAATGGTTAACCCAGGGAAGAGCAGCAGAAGCCAATTGATCCACAGCCCCTCCTGGTTGGGCAATAAGGCCTCTGAAAGCTGCTTTTCCTGACCTCCCTTTGGCGCCACAGAGCTAGACAGTCACAGCTTCCAACCTGCCTGGATGTGGGGGTTGGGAGCTCAAAGCAGGATAGGAAGGGAAGGAGGATGATGGTGGAAAATGCATTGGGCTCTGCATTTTGGGGAGTCAGGAAAAGGCAAGGCCCCAGAGGGTTTGTCACCTGACAAGACTGGCAGCTACAGGAATAAATATGAGAGACCTTTGAATATGGAAGACTCCTGGGAATTACTCCAGAGAACTGGAATCAGTCCTGGCTTTACTGTGTGTCCTTGGGCACTTTGCACACCCTCTCTGGGCCTCAGTTTCCTCATCTGTAATATGGAGAGGAGAGACAAACACAGCCAAGGTTTTTTTTAAAATAAGAAATTATATGTGGGTCACATCATTATTTTAATAATCAATTTTCAAAAATAGACATTTGGGCATGACTCACGTAAGTTGGGAAACCATACTGCTGTATGTTTTTCTGTTGCCAATAGCCTTTCATAATGTCACAGTTTTATGATGGAATTTTAGAAGTATTAGTCTTGACCAGCTGGAAATAATATAGTTAACTTTCAACTTAGATTCCAATATCTAAGAGACCCCATTTAGCTAACTCGACTCCAGCAACAGTCACCTTCTGTGGTGAGACTTGTAAACTGAGTAGTTCCAGAAAAATCCTGGCAGCCTGTGAGCCAGGGTCAGGCAGGTGCTTTTGGTCAGCCTGATGCTCAGGCCCAGGGAGAGGATTCATGCCAGTAGTACCCAAGGCCAAAAGGCTGCAGTCAAGGTGGGAGCTGGGGCTGCAGGAGGTGGCTGAGCTAGCCCATAGTGTTGGGAGTCTGGGTGGTGGGGAGAGTGGTAGATACCTTGTCCCTATCCAGGGAGGAAGTGGGAGCCAGAGGCAGAAGACGGAGTGGGAAGGAGCTGGTAATGAGAGATGGACATGCCTAATGCCTCTTTCCTCTCTCCATTCACTCCCTCTCCTCTCCTCTCCCCGATTACCTGTGCTTCGTGTAGAAGACGGACCCAGAGTCAGAGAGCCTGGTTTCTGGTCCTGCCCTTCCTCTCAGTGTCTTATGACCTGGGCAAGGCCCATAATCTCTCTGGACCTCGGTTTCCTCTTCTGCAAAGTGGGGCTCCTTTACCTTCCCTGCCTTCCTTGTGGGGTTAGGAGAGCAAACGAGAGAGATGGCCAGGAAAGCACTTTGTAAATCGCAAAGCACTCTACAAACAGAAGGCATCTCCATTAAACAATGATTTAATCCACTGACTCAATTGGGCTGCACTGGCTCCTGTCCCACCAGGAAGTCAGAAGAGCTGGCTCCATTACTTACTTGGTGGAACTCAGTTTTAATTTCCCATCTGACAGATGGGGGTGATACCTTTTGTCCCCCTGTTTCATGAGCTGTGGTGATAATCACAGTAGATTGTGTTAAGTACCAGAGTTTAATACAGAAGAAAGTTCACACTCCTGGCCTGCACTTGAAGGACGTCTGAAGTCTGGCAACACCCGCCTTGCATATCTGTGCCTCTCCATAGGGACTCTGGCCCTCATCAGGTTCTTCACATTTCAGGCCTCTGGGTACCCCACATCTCAGCACTCAAGTCACATACCAAGCTGACTATGGTTAAATGAATGAGCTTCCCTCTTTTTGCCCGTGGGGACTGCCTGCTTTTGGAGGACACTGGGCTGTGAGTAGCACGACTGTCATTTCATATTCTCTCGCAATTAGTGCAAAGGCACAGAGTTGGCACTCTACAAATGTGGAATAAATGAATTATGTCTTAATGTTCTTAACATATTTGCCCATTACACCTAGCCCAGGTCATACAGTTCTGGCTCCATTAACTACTTTTGTTGTTGCTGTTTAATTGAAAGCAGTAAGAAGTCTGAAGAGAAGCTGAGTGTCAGTGGCCCTGAATTCTAGGAGGAAAAGAGCCAGGGGATGTGTAGGCAGTGACTCAGGCTGAAAAAGAGGTGGGCAAGGTTTTCGGGTTATGAATCCTAAATCTTGAGTTCAGGTCCTAGCTGTCGTTTATTAGCTGGATCCCTTGGACTTCAGAACAAATATCTTAGCTTCAATTTCACCAGCAAGAAAGGAGGATTCCTTCCTTACTGGTTCATAGCAGTGGGGCAAGAACCAGATGCCATATATGGAAACCACAATACAAATTTTTATTGAAATGTGTGAGGTCAGAACCTAAGGGTTCTATTGCTTGCTGATTTCTCTAGCATTTCCTAGTAGGGCCTGAAGAAGGCACTATAGCCCAGGAGCTGGGCGGGCCAGGGTGAAAATTCTCCTGTGGGTCCACCCCTTCCCTGCCTCCTCCCACCACAGCTTCACCCCTCCCCACACACATGTATATCTGATAATAGCCTCCAACCCCACAACCTGCCAGTAATTTTTCCTGCTGCAGATGACAGGCAAAACATTCTCTCCCTTTTGCATATTTGCAAGGGCGCAGGCTGACTTCTCAAAGTTTTGTGATATAAGCAGAAAGTCTGACCACCATATACATGTTAATGGCCAGGATTGGGATCCCAACAGTTTTATGACATCTTTTGCCATTAGCACTGTCATAGAATTCTTGGGCACTGCTTTGCCCCTGGAAGCATTATTTCTGGGAAGGAATTTGAAGTTGGTTGTCAGAGTAAAGGGTCAGATTAGAAGCAGGAGTGAAGGCTTAGTTAATTTGTTCTGGGTCCCCCCTCCCAGGGGAGCAGGGAACAGGTATGGATTATACGGAGGAATAAGCAGAAGAGGGAAGGGATGAGTGCTGAGGAAATTCCTGTTGCCTTGGCCTTGGGCAAGTTACTTTACTTCTTCATCTAGATAATGGGAATCACAGTGGTAACTTTCTCCTAGAGCTGCATAAGGAATAAAAAATAAGGTCATAGAAGTGAGCTACCTAGAGAAGCATTGGGCACAGAGCTGGTGCTCAATTAGTCGGCTGTCTGGAAAGGTGGCTCCTTCTGCACTGCTGTCTGCTGCCCCTTCTGCAAGTCTCAGGGTAGAGCATTAACGGTGACCATCCTTAGGCAATGAAAGAGGTCACCTGGATTTATAAGGGGTTTCTGTGTTGAGGTGGCAAAGGGTTATGCTGGGAATGTGGCATTGGCTGAAGGGGTCACAGGGAAGAGGCAGAAAGAATAAGCGTTGGCAGCTGCCTACTGAGGAATAGCCTTGAATGGAGCCACCTTATTGACCATTGTGGGCAGAGCTTGTGGCCTCAGGCCCACTGGGTCAAGAGGTCAGACAGGCCATGAGAGGCAGCACGTAGGGCCTGACCCCCTCCACCTCTGGTTTCCCAGGCCTGCTGCCTGGAAGGGGAAAGAGCTAAGGAAGTAGGGGGCTCCCAGGAAAACAGAGAAGCCAAGAGCCATGCTGTGGTTTCAGTTCTTGCCAGTGAGATTGAAAATACACAAAACTTGAACCCCATGAGAGCCAGGGGCCAGCCCCAATCCGATTGTCATGGCTCCCACCACCTTCATTGTCCAGGAGGCTCTTGCTGTCATGGAGTCCCCGTGAGACCTGGAGAACTCATGGCTTGCCACCTAAATTCTCCAGTCCATTCTGTCCTTGCTTGGTAGGTGAAAAAAGAAGTATTTTCCCTCCAGCTTGTCCTGGCATCACAGTTCTGCAGGGCACTGAGGTGAGTTCGGTGTCTCCCCAGCATGGCGCAATCCCGAGTTTAAGCTGATCTCTTCTGAATTCTTCTTGTTCCGGGCCCCAGACTGGCCCTGTGACTTCCTCAGATCTGAGTTGAACTCTGAACAGTTTTTCTGGCCTCTGAGATGTCACCACTGGCCGTGGAGTGTCCGTGGAACAAGCTGGCACTGAGCTGATAGACCCTTGATGGGGGTTGGGAGTGGTGGTGTGGAAGGCGTGGCATGGGCAGTGGTGGTGAGCGAGGAGGTGGCGGGTGTATCTGGGGTAGGAGCACCAGGTCACCTGTCCCCTCTCCTGCAGGCCTCCCCTGTGTACAGCTTCAGCTTTCCTCGCAGGAAATTGGAGTAGATTCGGAAAAGTTTGCACAAAGTATCAACAGTGAATGTTCGGAGTGCAGCAGGAGAGGCTGTTGCATCTGGAAGAGAGATAGCTTCCTTCTGGCAAAGAGAGAACAGAAGGTTACTGCTGTGCCAGGGATCCTAGAGGAAGATGGGGGTTTAGGATAGAATTGGAGGGGGCATGAGGAAAGCCTCAGTATTTCTTGGAAGGGCCCTTCTCCCATTTTACAGAAAGGGCAAACAGCGTGAGGGAGGGTCTACTCCTACACACCTGGGCTCCCAGCGCCCGAAGTAGAGAAGTGAGGCTTCGCAGGCCGCTGATGGCTTTGTCCATGTGCAGCTTCAGGGTCTCAGATGGCTGGGAGGAGTTGGCCAATAGGGCCTGGCCCCGCGGGATGGCTTCTGAGAGCAGGGCCAGGCCCTGCCAGACTTCCACAGCCTGCTGCTCAACCTAAACGAAGCAGAGACTTGGAGTCATCCAGCCCAAGCCAGCCCCTTCCTCCTCCCTCTCTGCAGCCCCAAGCACCTAGCTGAGCAAACAGAAGGCATGCAATAAGATTTGTGGAATGAATGAACGAATGAACAAACAAATGAACGAATGAACATATTCCATTCAGCTCTCATCTTGACTCTTTTTCTTCTTTCTCTCTAGCATTCTCCCTTCCATCCTATCAGGCTTTCAAAATGAGACTCTTCAAGAGGAAGGAAAAAATGAACTCACCTCCATCCTCTTCCAGGCATAGAAGTTAACCTTGGTGTCTGGGACGGTGATATTCTCACTGAAGCTGCAACCTTCCTCACAGCCCATCTGAAATGCACAACACAGTGAGTCAGGGTGCCCAAGGGCTCCTGGCCCAGCCCACAGGCCATAGACCCACGCTTTGCCCCTTACCTAACTTACAGGTGTGGGTTAGAGCCTACCAGTTTTATCATTTTTACTGGGGACTCTGGCTTCCTACCTCCACCCCTGAACCAAGTGCCAGGTTGGAAGAAGTCCAGGTTCCTAGATCTTGGAAGAGACCCTTGGACCCCTGAGAGTGAGTTCTGTGGAATATCCTGGGGAGGAGGCCTCACCGTGACATTTTCAGCCTCCTTGGCCTCCAGGATGTACCTCTCCAGGACTCGGCTGTCACAGATGAGGTTTGGGGGGGCTCCCAGAACTGGGAGGCCCAGAGGAAGCATCAAGGACAGCAGGAGCAGCAGGGCAAGACATTCTGAAAAAAAAGAGCCGGCTGGGTATGAGGCAGAGAGGGGAGGAGAAGGGTTGGTTTGGAGGGACAGGTTCACACATCCCGCTCTCACTGGGGCTAGTTCTCCCCACCCCAACCTTCCAAGCGCTCAGGTTCTGCCTCCTTCGCCTTCATTCAATCGCTACTGCGCGCACACCCCATCCCCCAGCTACCCGCTCCACTTCTCGGGGCCAAACTTCAATCCTGCTGTGACAGAGGCTTCCGCTCTCGAAGATCCTGGTGGTTGCTCGAGCACCCAAGTATCAACTACCTCTCCACCCGCATAGCAGCCCTTCTTTTCCCTGAACCCACAAACCTCGTCTCTGTCTCCAGGTCACATTCCGCCTTTCCCAGGGACTCCCCGAGCCTGAGTCCCACGTGGAGGCTACCCCACCCCCACGCTCCCTTGCCCTTCCGGGGCCCTCGGCAAGTCGAGGGTCCTTGAACCCAGACACCTCGGGGCCAACAGCCTTAGCGGTAAATCCCTCTTCAAACACCGGCTGGGGCGGGAGCTCCCCAGTGGGCGAGCACTCACCGCGCACCTCCATCTCCGCGCCCTGCCCAGCCGCTCAGCGACCGGGGGCTCGCCCGGCGCCCTCGCCCCGAGCCCTCATCCCGGGAAGCTCAGTGGGGCAGGGCCACTCCACGGGCCGGAGGAGGGGGCCACCGTCCAGGGGCCGCCGAGCCGGGGGTCGAGCCGAGCGATCGCAGGGCCAGGGTCCGGGAGTATGCGAGGTGACCAGCCGGCGTTGGCCCGGGGACTGCGGCTGCAGCCGGGGGTCGGGGCTGTTATCAGCATGTGTGCGTGCGTGTGTGGGGGTGGGGGAGCTGTGTGCGTGAGGGGTCGCCCGAGGTGGGGGCCAGAGGGTCAGAGCAGGGGGCAGGACGCCTGGGTCGCGGGCTCGCCGGGGCGGGAGCAGAGCCGTGGTAGGCGCGTGTGCAGGGACACCCGTCTGCCCGCCAGACCCCGGGCTGCGGGATGTGTAGCTGGGTGCGCACCAGCGGGTTGGGCAGCACACCTGCGCCTGGGAGAGGAGGGCCACTCTGAGAAAGGCTGGGGGCGTCCTGGTCTTGAGCGGTGGCTCAGAGCTGGGAGTGCCTGGGTTCCTGCGAGGCCGCTGGGTCTTTGGAAGCCCAGTAAGGTGCCGGCAAGGGCAAGTCAGTTGTCTTCCGTCTCACAGTCCCTGTACTTGTTCTAGAACCAGTGTTGTTCACGTTGAGGAATTTGATGGGGGCGCAAGGAGCAAGAAATGTGTGGGGGGGTCTCTTCCCTCCTCCCCCACACTCCTCATTTTCTAGGACACTGAAAACCCAGAAATTGAATATTTACGGCACAAAGCACATGGTATGCTGTGCAAGACACACATGCACTTTGACATCCTTTTCTTTGACCTGTGATATACCGTAGGTTAGCCTGGTGGCAAAATTCTCACAAACTCTGAAATAGAGCTACCCTCCCCTCCCCAGATTGATGGCAGTTTGGATTTGCAGCTAAGCCTTTGTAGCTTCTAGGAAGCCCCGAGACAGCGGGGCAAGCTCCCCAGAGCAGGTGTCCAAGGCTGGCTGGCTTTCAAACCTCTCAAAGTGGCCTCGGCCCTTGAGCCTCAGTGTCCTTACCTGTCGAATGGATGTGATGAAAATACCAGTCCCTAGGGCCCGCCCAGTGGCTCAGTTGGTTAAGAGCTCATTCAAGAGTGTGAGCTCTGAGCAACAGGGTTGCCGGTTCAATTCCTGGCCCGAGCTGAGCTGCCAACTGGTGGCAGGATGGCTCAGCTAAAAAAAAAAAAAAAAAGGAAATACCAGCCCCACCTTACACAGGTTTCATAAGACAGCAAAGTCCTAATAAATACAGGTGGTTATATATATTCCTTCACTCCCTACTCCATCCCATGATATTAGAGATATTTTATTCATGTGTTCAGTGCCTTCTTTGTGCAAGACACTCAACTACACACTTTGCAGGATAAGATGATGTGTGGAGACCTGGGTTCCTGCCTCCTGGAGTTTGCAGTTTAGTATAGAGATAAGATGGGTGCCCAGGGCAGTGTGTGAGCAGGACTGTAGTGCGCAGAGCTGAGCTGTGAGAATTTGGAAGAGGGAGAACTCCTCTAGCTGGTTGAATCAAGGGAGCTTTGATGAAGGAGGTGACAGTGAGCTTAGCCTTGAAGGGCAGCAGCGGAGAGAGATGCAAGGTGGGTGTGGGAGGCCAACTCAGCAAAGTAAAAGGAGGGTCAGGTGTGTTTGGGAGGAGGGTGCAGGGAAGAGAGAGGTGGAGATCAAGCCAGAGCGCTGGTTAGGGAGGGGTCAGGTAGTGAGGGGCCTTGAATGCCACTCTGAGGAATCTGGGTTTCATTTGGAAAGAGTAGGAAATGTTCATTCGAGAAATATTTGTTTCTTCAAGAAATGAGCATTCAAGAAATATATATAAAAATACCTACTCTTGGCCAGGACCTGGGGATAGAGCAGTGAATGAAACAGACAAGAATGCCTGCTCTGGTGGAGCTGATATTCTAGTGGAGAGGCAGCCCCTAAACACAAAAATGAATAAAAATAGAGGATCTCTGATGGCAATAAGGACTAAGAACAGGCATGGAAGGGGACCAGGAGTGTCGGAGGGTTTGCAATTTTATATCAGACAGGCAGGGATGCATGCTGAGACGGTGACCTGACCTGACTGAGGTGAGGGAGGGAGCCATTGGGTGCAGGGCAGCATGATCAAAGAGATGGTCAGAAAGATGAATGGAGAGGCTGGTGTGTTTCTGGTAGGAAGTAATGAGGGCCTGACTGTCTCCACCTCTACTCCCCTACCCTCCGCTCACCTCCAGCCTACTCTGGGGGCCCTCCCTGAACCTGGTGTACTGGATATCGGTCTGCATGCCCTACTATGCCCTCTGGTCCTAGTCTCCCTCTCAGCACCAGACAGGCTCCCAGCTCTTCTTGGCCTTCAGAGCCTGGTTCTGCTCCCTTCCTAAATCCCAGCTGTGGAACAAGCAATCACACACTCACGTCCACACACGTCCACACATGCATTCTGTCCTGACCTCCCCACCCCCACCCCCCCGCCGCCTCCCCAGGCTCTGCTCTCCTAGTTCCCTGACTCCTGCGTCACTGCCCTGACCTGACCATGAAAAGGGGACCAGGGACAGATGGCGAGAGGAGTGTAGACACAGCCTAAAGAGAGGGAAGAGGGGAGGAGCCTCTCGGGGCTGTGGGACCTGCTCTGCCCTCCCCTCTGACAGTAAGTTGTCAGAGGCCTTTAGGCCCCTACCTTAGAGAAAGGAAAGAACATGGGACATGAGTACAGCCCGTAGGTGCTAGGGCCTGCTGGCGCTGGCTCAGTCTCTGTGGCTTTTGGAAAGAGAGCTACAATTGCAGCTTGGGAGAGAGGGTATAGGAGAGGGTTTTAGTCCACCCCACACCCAATCTCTAAACTGAGTAATCCTGCTAAGGGAACAGAGGCTAGTTTGGGGCCCAACTTCAACCCAGGTGCTCTTGGATACTGCCCAGCAGTATCTGTCCTCATCAGGGGACCCTGAGGAGCAGGAAGAAATCAGGAAGCTACCTGTGGCTCCCCCTCCAATGCCCACCACCACCTGCCCAGTGCCCCCTCCATCCGCCTGCTCATGTTCCTCGGACATGGTGTTGACCCAGTCCTAGCACCACTGCAGAGGGTCTCCTCATTAACTCCTTCAATTAATTCCCAACTCTGCCACTAGATTAACTTTCCTATTGAATAGCCTCTTTGAGTCACGCCCCTGAGTAGGAGCCTGCAATGGCTCCCTGTTGCCTCAGAACTAAGACCCTCTGTGTTCTGTCATCTACCTCCCTCTCCAGCCTGTTCTCCCACTTTGCTCATTCCCACTCCCTCCATCACACAAGCTCAGTTAGATGGCTTGCCGCTTCCTGTCCTTTGCTCCCTCTGTGCCTTCTACCTGGATCAGCCAGCCTCCCACACTCTCCCCGCTTTTGTTCAGGGCCCAAACCCACACATTATCTCCTCTATGAAACCTTCCCTGACCCCCAGCAGGAAGTTGCTTCCTTCCTCTGTGCTGCCTTTCTTACACGTCTTAGGCCTCTCAGTGCAGAGCCACCGTGTACAATTGTCAAGGTTGAGCACTGCACAACTCCAGGGGGTGCCATTCATGTAGACTTTGATGGGAATGGTACCCTCTGGAGTCATGCAGCACAGGTGCCCTGTTAATCGGAGAAGAGAACAAAGGATAGTGTGTAACAGGTCTTGTTCACCTTGGTACCCACCAGGCACCCAGCATGTTTCCTGCTTATGGTCATCACTCATGTGTGACTTCCATTATGTCTCCAGACACCTCACCCAGAGATTGACCTAGAGGAGGGAAGTAAGCCATTCATTCTCAGGCTTTGTGAAGCCATGCTTAGTTCTGGGATCTTGGGGGCTTACGAGGCCTCCCTTCACTTCCTGGAGCAGGCGGCCACTGAGGCAGGGTCTGAAAAGGGACAGTTGTGACCAGAGGATGGCGGGGGTGGAGGCAGGCTCTGTTCCATGGAGTCTTCCTGGCAGCCAATTCAGTTTGAAAATCCAAGGGGAAGCAAATTTACAGCCCCCCTGAGCTGTCCCAGACCCCAGGCAGCATGAAGTCCCAGCTGCCTGGATTTGGGTTGGGGATGAGGGGGGCCTCTGGGCCTCTCCTCCCTCCTTTCCAAGCAGTGACTTCTTGGCTTGACTTGGGAATTCAGCCAGTGGCCTAGAAGACCTTCTGTGCTAGGAAGTGAGGTGGCTGGGGGCCTTGGAGGATGGGGTGGGGGAGCACTTCCTGGCCTCTGGGGAATTGGGAAGGGAGCAAGAATGCTGGAGAAGGGATGCCTGCTGGATAACCAAAGAAAGTCCTGTGCAAAGGTCATTTTGGAGAAATTGAGGCAAGGCCTGCTTTCTTGGCTACAAAGTAGCCAGAAGAGCCAGATCTAGGTGTCTGTTCTCAGCAAGCAGCTCTGTGGCCCAGCAGTCTAAACGGGTTGTCCAGTAAACAGGGAGACTGGATTGGTGGCCTGAGCTCTGCCACTTAGTAGCACCCAATTTGGGCAAGCGACTTTATCTCTGAGCCTTGTTTCCGCTGACAAAAAAACATCCAGCCTAAGACAAAATTTATATTAGTTTATTTGAGCCAAACTGACAACAATTGCTGGGAAGAAGTCTCAACAGATTGAGAAAATGCTCCGGAAAATGGCTGTTTTGCAATTTATTTTATACATTAGAATCAAAGGAGTAAGGTTACATGAAATCCATTGGTTGTAGATTAAGCGGGGGGAGGGGGAAATCTTTGGGACAGGATAAAAAGCAAAATGGAGGGACACACACTTCTTTTACATTGGTGAGTGCAGGATAAGTAATAGCATTTTACATACAGCACATAGAGATGGCATTTAGGGAACAAGATAATAATGAGGGATTTTGTAGATTCCTGTTCTGGTGTGGTGGGTTGTGCCCCCTGCGGGGGTGTGGGGGGGGTCTGGAAAAAGAGATTACTCTGATATTGTAAGGGTATGTTATCATAGATGCAAAAAGACAACAGAC